TCACTTACCCCACCCCTTTTCCGCTCTGTTACTTCCTTTCAGTACCTGAGGCAGCCCCTCCCCTTACCTAGAAGACCCTGCCAACTCCTGTTCTCCCTTTGTAACCCCAGCCCCTGCTCTCTTTCTCTCATCTTCTCTCTCCCCAGGGTCCTTTTTGCCTCTTTTTCCACTCCCTCACTGGACACTTCCTCTTCCAGCCTTCATCAAAGGAATAAAGGGTACCAGTGACCCTAAGATGTCTCAGGGTGGAGCTTGCATGGTGAGAGCCAGTCTCTGGTTAGCTGATGTTCACTCTTCTGTCACCCTTTGTTCTGAGGTGGACATGGGCTAAGGTGGCTAGAAGAGACCCTGGGGTAGTAGGAGGAAAATCACTTGCCCTGGGAGGTATGCCCACCCAAAGAGAGGACAGGACACAGGCCAGGGCAAGGAGGGAAAGGTGAAGAAGATAGGGAGGGAGCTTATCTGACTTTTCTAGAGAAACGAAGCTGGAAAGGAAAGTAATATTTTGGGTGAGAGCAAGGATAATGAGCCAAAACCGAACAAGATGACATTTAAAGGGAATAAATATAAAAGTCTGCATTTAGGCTTTTAAAAAAATCACTTATGTAAGCACAGCATGGAAGAGCTCTGGTGAAAAAGAACTGAGGGTTTTAGTTGGCCACGGGCTTAATGTCGTAGCAATGTGACACAGCTTCCAAAACGTTTATGTAATCTTGGGCCCTATTAGCTAAAGCATCATGGACAGAAGAGAGAGGTGGTGTGCTCCCTCTTATGCAAGGATCAGGCCATGATTGGAGTATTTATCACAAAGTGCTTAAAGGATCCTCCTTTGTCATTCTGGTTTATACTCAAGAAAGTAAAATTTTGGGAAGCCAGGTCACATGAGGAATGGTGAAGGGTGACAAGGACGTTCGGCCTAAGAAGAGAAAATATGATGGAATCTGAGACTCCAGTTTTCAGATACTTGAAAGGGTGCCATATGTAGGGGAGTGAAACCAAAGGGTCGAAATCCCGGGAAGCAGATTTTAGCTCTATATAAAGAAGAACCACTCAACTATTAGAGCCATCATGCAAAGGAGTAGACGTCTTGTGAGACGGTGAGCTCTCATTTATGGGAGATAATCAAGTACAAGCCAGAAGCCCATAACTGGGAATGCTCCAGTGGGATGCCCTGTATGGAGAGAGAAGTTGGACTTGATGATTCCCAAGGCCAATTTCAAGGTTAAGCTCTGATTGGCATCTTCAGCACAGAGGAGGAGAGAGAATGGGCTGGAGATGAAGAAGAGTTGGGCAGTTGGAGGAAAGGTGGGAGACTGAGCAAGTACAGGAGAAGGGATGGGGGAGAAAGTAGGCTGGAACAAGGGGTGGGGCCCTTGGGGAAGGATTTAGAGAAGAGTGCTAGGAATGGAGCTATGGAACAAGAGGCAGGAGAGGGAAGCCTGGGGCTGGGATTCCCCTTACCCATACCCCTCCCCCCAGGAATGACATGCCAAGCTCGGAGCTCCTACCTGGTGGATGAGGTGCTGTGGGGCCACCGCTTCACATCAGTTCTGACCCTGGAGGATGGTTTCTACGAGGTGGACTATGCCAGCTTCCACCAGACCTTTGAGGTGCCCACGCCCTCGTGCAGCGCCCGGGAGCTGGCTGAGGCAGCAGCCCGCCTTGATGCCCATCTCTACTGGTCCATCCCCAGTCGGCTGGATGAGAAGGTGGAGGAGGAGGGGGCTGGGGAGGGGGCTGGGGGAGAAGTTGGGGCTGACAAGGAACAGAATGGCTGCCTGCCTCCCCCAGAGAGTGAGTCCAAGGTGTGACCAATTTCCTCCAGACCCCTGCGGCAGGGCCAGACACAAGTACCTGGGAAGCTGGATATTGGAGGTGGAGAAGGAGGCAGGCGAGGTCCCTGGGAATGCACTAAAGCTGGAGAGGGCCCTCAGAACCTCGAGTCCAGGATCCAATGTGGAAGGGAGGGATCCTGATTTCAGGAGAATGGAGGGTGGGGATGGATGAACTTACCAGCCTGTCTGTGTTTGACCTTCACATCTGTTCATGGGTAGATGGATGGACAGAAGGATAGACTTATGTGGGTTGGATGGGAAGGTGGAAGCAGATAGAGACACCAGGTGGATAGGTAAATGGACCTACAGACAGGTAGTGCACTCAGGGCTGCTACTAATTCATAAAGCATCTTTGTGCAAATTCTAAAAAAGCACCCTTTTCCTCCAGACTGATGCCCCCCCACAAACCAGGGGAGCAACCACAGTGTGGGCTGGAATTTAGTCCCCATTCACCTCTTCAGCCAGCCTCCCTGTGTATGGCACACCTGTCTCGCTGAACACAGTAGCCCCAGCTGACCCAGAGGAGAGAAAGCTGGATGGAAGTGGGCAGAGATGAGGAAGGTGCCCTCCCAGCTTCACCCCCACCACTGTGACAGGCTCGGCAGAGAAAAAAAAGGCTTTAGGGGCAGATCAGCAGGGTGTGAATGACCTTGTCTACTGGACAGGGAAACAGGAAGTAGGGAGCTGCCAGAGCGGTGGCCCTGGGAAAGGACAGCTCTTTTCTGACAGTGGAGTGAGATTTCATAAGTACCTCTGCAAATGTTGGAGGGAAGAGAGATTCTGAGGAGGAGGAGGGCCTGGGTGAGATAGAAAGAGTGAGTTCAATAGACCTGGAACACTGGGGCCTTGGGAAAGCAGAATTAGTCTTGGGGTCATTCAGATCGTTCATTCAGTGCACTGAACCAGGCACATGAGGGGTGGACAATCAGAGGCCCATTTCCTATCTTAGAATACAGTGCACATGGGAGAAACACAGAACTAGGTAATTGTTTCAAATTGAAAACCTGGGCAGTCTCTCCCAATAGAGGTGGGAAGTTTTGGTGATCAGAAAGCTAAGGATTGAGCAAGGCACAGAGAATGAGCTAAACTAGCAGCTCTAACACTTGAGTTTGCATCAAGAATCACCTGGAGGGCTTGTGGAAACACAGACTGCTAGCCTCACTCCCAGAGCTTCTGAATAAATAGGTCTAGGGTGGAGACCAAACATTTGAATTTCTATTAAGTTCCCAGGTAATGCTGACTATGCTGGAATGGGCACCACAGTTTGAGAACCATTGCTCTAAACAAAGATCTAGAGGTCTTATCAGGAGGTGAGGCATACAGCTGTGGAGAAGCTGAGGATCCTAGGGGTGGAGACTGAAATATAAAGGGTGGAGTCTAGTGTGTAGAGAAAAGGTACCCTGAAACCCAGGCTGATGAGTTTAATTCTGGGCCCAGGGACTCACCCATCAGTGAACACAGGGCAATGACAACTAGAGATGGTGTTTGGGGAAGATAAGTAGGCAAGAGAGATAGGAGGCAGTAAAGAGGCCTTGAGGGGATTCCTGTGGAGGTGGTGGGGAGCTGGGGCAGGAAGTAGCAACTGGGGTTAAGGGGGACTTCCTTATAGGTTCTTACTTTCACAGTAGCATCTTTGCCACAGACATTTTCGCCACAAACTAATTGGCTATAAGGCAATTTAGCCATAAAAAGGGGCATAATTAAAGACTTTAGTGTGAAATACAAAGTATTTGAATATATTTTAAAAGTGTGTAGATTCATGGCAATACTGCACAAATACCTGATTTTATTTTATGGTTGTACCTAAGCATTTGTCTTAATTCTATAGGAAATGTGGGTTCAATTCTGTGACCTCAGAGAGGACCCTAGGCCTCTCTCCTCCCAATATGGTATGTTTTAAAATAAGAAACCAACTCTTGGGGCAAATCATCATCATATGGAAAAATGCTAACTATTTTAAGACTACCACCACCACATCTCCTTATCACTATAGGCCATTACGAGAACTAGCTAAGATTTATATATAATGTAAAAATGAGAGTAACTGCAGGAACTTCGTCAGTAGAGAAATGAAACCACACACACACACACACACACACACACACACACACGCACACGTCAACCAGTTATTTTATCTCTGTCACAGTAAAATTGCCTTACAGCCAGTTCGTTATGTGATGAAGATGTTTGGGGTGAAAAAGCTTGCGGCCAAGATGCTATAGTGAACATACTGGATGCTCCCTTATAGAACTTTGGAGGCAGGATTAAATGTAGCAGAGAACGTGAGAGAGAAGCGAGGTTCCAACATCTGGCTGTGTCTGTGGCCTGCGGTCTACTCGGCCAGAACAGGAGCCCCTGCAGACGCTATTCCCATCCTACATCCACCCCCTTCCTGGTGTCATCCCAGTCACGAGGGGCAGCCCCCCAGGATGGTGAGGTGGGAACAATGGCAAGTTGAGAAGGGGCAGAAGTCGAGGGGATGTGAGGCTGGCCTCCTGGGAGAGGAGTGTGTGCCCAGGCAGGCATACCCTCCAATGCTGGCTACACTCCACTCCTGTCCTTTAACAGAAGTCTGAGCACCTTGGGGGAAATGACCCCAGTCTGCTCTATTCCAGGCTGAGAAGCTGAGGTCCTGTGGGACCTGTGCCTCAGAAGAGCAGGAA